ATGGGCTGAATTGCACAAAACGCATGATCGCACCGGCTAGTCTGATGCGCGTTGCTATTTATTTAAATTTGTCTGATAATTTTAATTAAATGATAAAGAGAAAATAATGAAATAGAAAAGATGAAAAAGGGAAGAAAATGAAGAAAAAGCGAAGTAAGAAGGCGAAAGGGGACTGAGGAAATATTTGTTACAGGCAAGAAATGTTTCGGTCCGTCAAGTCGTATACATTTCTTACCGTTTAAATTCCATGTATTAAATAAAATCTAGGATTTTTGATTATTATTCCATGTGTGTTAAAGTCTCTTCAGATTTCTTTTTTTCTTTGTTTTTATTAGGTTTATTCGGCACACCTGCAGCAACAGCAACAACAACTGCAACTGCTGGTGGACTTTTTGGTGCAGGCGCGACAGCAGCAGCGCCTACAACTGCGGCAGGTCTTGGAGGTACGGGTACCCTGGTGTCAGCTGGCGTGGGTACGAGTGGTTCGCTGGGTGTCGGTGTCGCCGGTGCTGCAGCATCCGGAAATCCGATGGATGGTGAAGTGCCACAACCGATAGCAGAAGCAATCAACTTGTTGCGGTAATTTTTGTCTTAAAACCTTAAAAGCACCGTATTTTTCCCCCATCCCTACCCCTCCCCCAGAAAAAAAGTCATGGTTTTTGGTTAAAAATTCGACTCTACCGTTGGATTTTTTCATTTTTCTGGTTTTAAGCTGTGTGTATGGTCGAATTCTGGGCCAATTTTGGGATTGTTTGAATTCCTAGCCGATTATGGGATTTTTTTTCCAAAGATTTTCGACTTATCCTATGTCATATTTGTTTTGGGACACCTTCTTGACGCGGGGCTTCGTACCATCTTCAGATTCCTATTTATATATTTTTATGAAAAAGGAAATAGAGGTGGCTTCTAATCAGAAAAAAACTCTGTGGTATCGGGACGATTTTTCGCACTCAGTTTTAGCGCCTATACCTCAATCAATCGAACTTTATGGCATTTAGAGTCCATAGAGCCTGCGGATTTTGATGTGACCCCATTTATCTC